TAAATCATTAAGCAATTCTCCTGGTCTAAACTATTAGGGTAGAAGAAATAAGGAGAACAAAATAGACAGATGACGTGACTAGTATTCATGCCACACAAAAGCTGGGAGAAAGCTGTGGTTTGATGTTCCGTTAGATAGCTAGCTGTAATAAGATAAGTCAAGTCTGGAAAACACTGCCAGTCAAAATCTCTCTCTAATGAGAAAAATGATGTTTAGTTATATCAAGAAAATAAATGAAAAAAAATATTAAAATATGTATGCTCTTGGACACATGATATCTCATAATCTAAAAATTGAATATAATTTGTTTTACCATTGTTTAATAAATGTGAATTGAAAGGAATGAATTACAAATCATACCATAATGTTTTTAATTCTTTAAATCTTGAGGTCACTGATTAGCCTTATACATATCATTCTGAGCACAAAAGTAATAAATACTATGGAAACTGAAAGAGAAACAAATTCAAAGTAAAACATTGTGGCAAATCTAACTGCCTAATCATTTTTACTTTCTTTACATACATTAAAGAAGCTTTGGTAGTGTAGTGGTTACGAATTAGGCTGCGAACTGAAGGTTAGCAGTTCGATACTACCAGCTGTTCCATGGGAGAAAGGTGAGGCTTTTTGCTCCCCTAAAGATTTACAGCCTCGGAAAACCTGTACAGGGTCGCTATGAGTCGGAACTGACTCCATGGCACATAACCACCACCACCACCACCACATACAGATAGGAGTCTTGATGTGGTACTGTAGGATAAGCACTGGACTGCTAATCAGGATGTTGGCAGGTCAAACCCACCAGCTACTCCTCGGAAATCCTATACAGGGTTGCTCTAAGTTGGAACCCACCCAGTGGCATTTAGCAGCAACACCAACAACATGCATTTACTATTGACGTAGACATTGGCTTACTAAAAGAAATTGACTAGTTCATTAAGGGCTGGGACTCTGTCTTATAAGTAAACAGTAATAAGTAGCTGATTTTTAGATGATGATGGGCAGGAGTAATGTAGTTGGAGATTACTGATTTAAGATGGTGTATTACACATTAACTAGGATCTGCACTGAACTGCTTCCCACAGTGTTGGTGGTTCAAACCAACTAGCTGCTCCTTAGGAACCCTGTACAGGTCATTATAAGTCGGAACTGACTTGACGACACTTAAAAACATCATTACACACTGACAGGCAACAATGTGTGTTTCAAGTTCTTAGTGGTTTTTGTTTAAATCTGAACCATTGTTTACAAATGGGGAAGATTTACAGTACTAATTCAGCCCTTTGGCTTCTTTTGAAAAGTAGGAAATGTATCCCATAAGCAGCTAGACAACGAGCAGTTGCCCTTCTAATTTGAAGAGAAACTGCATGCCAATATCTATTAATGTACTTTTTCATTAAACAAATACTTTTCAAGTGTTTGTTTTAAGCCAGGTGGTATAGTATAACTTGCATTCTATTGGGAGGACAGACAGTAAACAATAAGTTATGTGTTTACTATGCTAGTGAGTAATAAGTGCTAAGAAAACAAGAAGTAGAGATGGGGAATATGAAGTTTGGTGTTCATTGGCATTGGAGCTGAAATTGTAGATAAGAGTCCCACTGAGAAGGTGAGTTTTGGCTAAAGATCTAAAGGAAGTTAGAGAGCTTGCTATGCAAGAATCTGGAGGAAAAGCAGAAGGGCAGCAAGCAGAAAGAACATGAAATTGGGGAACAAGGAGGTTGCTATGTATTTCTGATGCTTTTCATATAGCAGAGAAATATTTCTGTCCTCATTTTGTATCAAAAATCAGTAAAGAGCAAGAGGTCTTCATGTTTCCAGATGAACAGAAAAAAAGTATATCTCATTGGAAACAGTGACTATTTCAACACAAATGATGTGTCTATTGAAAAGAATCATCCTAAACACAGTTACGAACTGAAACATGAGAACTGTAACTGCTGTATAGAGAAGATCCCTGAGGAAATTTTTAATGAATGAAGAAAAGAAATACTATATCAACAGACTCCTCTGTTTTCTTTTTTTTTGAAACTTTTCATGTGAATTGAGTGAACGTTTACTGAGTATATCATCAGTTTTACAGCCAACAAATCATGCTTTGTTTCATCGTCTCAATGATTGCAATCCCCTCCATGTAACAGCAGTTATCTCACTTCCTCCCTGTGGGTTCTGTTTCTTTTGCACCCTCCTTCCCTACCCCTCTGATCCTTGTCCCCAGGTAAATGTTGCCCTTTTGATATTGAATGCTTGGTTGACCATTTCATTGTGCGCATTCCTCACTATAATGTTGTACTCCCCCTTTATAACGTATCCATCTTTTGGTTGAAAATTGGGCCATGAGAGTGAGTTCATTCCAGACCTGAAAGGTGGTTTAGGGCTATAGTCTCTGGTCCCTTCTCTTTCTTTCTGACAGTAAGCCCAGTCTTTTTTAGATGGTTGAGTTTTATTCCACATTGTCTCCTGCTCTATCCAGGACCTTCTAAATGTGATCCCTTTTAGAGCAGGTGATAGTGGTAGCTGACCGTCTTCTGGTCTCAGAGTCAAGTACACTTGGTGTACATGTGTTTTTTAGTCCACTAGACTAATTGAGTCCAAGTAGCTTTAAGCTGGGTGCTTTTTTCTTTCTCCCACACATGAAGGAACCCCTTAGATGGCCATTCATGAGCTGTTAAGATCCTAGTCACTACTTACCAAAGACGAATGTACAAAACTGCTTTTGTGGACGATGTTATGAGCAATCTTTGTTTTTGATGTGTGCACAGTATGCTGTTTTAACTTATAAGTGGGAACATTTTTCATACAACAAAACTTTACAAATTCGAATTTAACTATAAAATAGTACCTACAAAGTGTACCAGGAATTATCATCATGGATAAGAAAAGCTCAGTAACGACGGGTTACATGAAAAAGTTAATCATTTGTGATATTATCTGTTGCAGCTGATAATACAAATAATTTATAACAGTGGAATCTTATGGGAAGATTAGGTTCTAAAGTCAGAGCCTAAGACAAAGGTCTGGGATGGTCAAAATTGCTCTTGAAAATCCCTTAGAAAGGTATACTGCAGCAAATCTCATTAAATCCAACATAGCCATCTTTTTCTATTATGTTGGAATTAAGCCTCCATTTCCTTAATTATGCGTGAGATAAAATAAATGGCATGCTATATATTTTTTAAAAAGACAAAATAAACCATTTTAAATACTAGAACTCCACTCAGCACAAAGACATAATCACACAGTGTCAAGGATGATGGGACTAAGACTACCTGGGAGGAAAACATGTTCATGTCTCTCACCTCACACTTGCTCCAGGGCATGGTGAATTGCCATATTAAGTAAAGTTTTTTCTTTTGTCTCCTTAATATCCAAGTATACTAATAAGCATATCACTCAGTTACTGGTGCATACAGTTACTTCACAGAGCAAAAGTATATAGATAGTACAAGTAATATGAAGCAGCATGTTTCTTTTTCTCTAGAATATTCCTGCTGTTTGTTATTTAATAGCAAAAAGCCAATAATTGACTTTTATCCAATACCTCAAAGTCAGTTTGAATCACAAGATAGGCAGTTCAAACTTACCAGTTGCTCCTCGGAAACCCTATTCAGGGTCACTGTGAGTTGGAACTTACTAGATGGCACTTAACAACAACAACAAATGTTGTAAATTAGATTAAAAATAGAATAAAAGTATACTTTCCCAGTGGGGCTGAACTACCCTTTGCTTATGGCAGCTCTTGTTATGATATTGTTGTTAAGTGTTGTCAAGTTGGTTCCCACTCATAGTGTATAGGGTTTCTAAGGACCCGCTGATGAGTTTGAACTGCTGACTTTGGTTCAAACCGACCTCTTGTTCCAGTGCTTTATCCCACAGCACCATACCAGGACTCCCTTGTTACAATTGTTTTTTAATTAAAAATTTTAAATTGTTACAATTTGTCATATGCTTTGTGATAATGACCCTTAGATTGCTGATCAAGGAATTGATTTCTTAGTAAGTTAGCGTTCAGGAAAATATATTTGTTGCTGTATATTGGTTAGATTTGCTTGAATTTATTGATATCGAAGGCATTTTCTGCATGGTTAAGTGCTAAAAATATTAGGTATTTTCTAGCTATTACTGAAGAAAAAAAGACAGCCAGTAGTTAAAAGTCCTTTATTGACTTCTTAGGAGGAGAGAAAGAATTGAAGGTTATACCACAAATCATAATCTCCTTAAGAAAATGATACAGGAATAAGCAGTTATAAAAGGAATCGACACCTGAAAACTTGGTTATGGTCTACCACAATTTGAGAAAGCCTTTGAAAAATCTGATTTTTCAGATTAGTCATCCTTTAGGTTTTTAAAGATATTATCCTCCATATCATCCCTGCTAGATTCTAAATTATAAAACTCTTTAGCTTCAAATGTCTTTTTCACTCCCCCCCTCCCCCATTGATAAAATGAGTAAAACCAGTAAAGAGGATTGTCAGTAAGAGGCAGGGGTGTTTCAGAATTACCTTTGATGTTTCCTCCACAGCCATCGCTTCTTCCCCTCCAAATACAAATCCAAGTACAAAAAGTACTTTACACCATAGGCAGAACTTCAACAACTATTAACTCCATTGGCACTGGGCTTTCTGGTGACCTCTGCATGCTCCTGATGACAGTGAAGCAAAGAAATAATGGCTTCCCTCATTGTAACGTATACCAGGTGGTTGGCACAGGACAAGCATTCAGTAAGTGCTTTTCAGCACTCCTTTATTAATTTGGGCCAGGGATTGCAGTATTGATTCTGCTGTGTGTATAATATCACCAGGCTGAATACTAAATACTAAAATACCCAGCCTTTATCCAGGATTTTGTGTGTATTATAAATTTTCATTAATTAAGCAGGGTAATTTGGAACTCTGAATCTTCTGTCAGTTTTGCAGAGCCCATAGTTAACCATGAATTAGATGTTTATTATAGTCTTTTAATTACTGACATATATTAATAATATATTCTGTTATTTTTAGGAGGAAGCACAGTCATTGCTTGAAAATCTGCATGTTTACCATACAAATTACTTCCTGGTTTTGAGATGTCTTCATAAGTTCACCTCTTCTCTTCCCAAGTATCCATTGGGTCGACAGGTAACCAAAGCTCCCTTATTTGGAACCTGTGAAATAGCAACACTAGTAGTTGCTTACTTTGATTTTAGCAGCACTGCAAACATCAGATTTGAAATGGATCCAAATCTTGCAATGAGAATACAATCTAAATCTATTTCAGCTGTACACATTACTGATAATTGAAACCGTGTAGTTCGTTTTAAATGCCACAGCTAGAAACAGCCACATGAATCCCAGTGGTGTTGCTTCATCTACAGTGTATTTGTGGAGGCATTTGACTTTTCCTTTATCATCTACACAGAATGAACTGACTTCTAGCCTTGTTGTTGTTAAGTGCCGTGGAGTCAGTTCCGACTCATAGTGACCCTGCACAGGGTTTCCGAGGCTATAAATCTTTACGGGAGCAGAATGGCTCTTCTCTCTCCTGCGGAGCCGCTGATAGTTTTGAACTGCTAAACTTGAAGTTGGCAGCCCAACTCGTAACCACTATGCTACCAGAGCTCCTTACCAGAACCTTAGTGGACTGGAAAAGCAAAGCTGTTAAAGAATGTTTCATTGTTTGCCTTGCATTGTATCAAAATGAAACACAGCACTTCTGGTCCTTGCAAAAAATAGGTTCAGCAGGCCGTTTTGTCATAGCATAAACCTTAGGAACCCTCAAGAGTGAAGATATTAATGGAAAAATTTCGTGTTCCTAAATCTTTGTATCCTTAAAGTATTAGAAAACAGATATACATGCATACAAACGTCTTGCTTTTGAGATGATGTCTGCCATACAGCCTTCCTTTTTATAATTTTGTCACTTTTAACTCATAATTTTCTTAGTACAAAACGGCCAGTGACGGGTCAGCCAGTATTTATAGCATTATGTAAATAAGACTACAAAATTTGATCCCTGTGATATATGCCAAATCTAAAGTAAATGATTGTTTTTTAATACCGTTATTTTTTTTCTTGATTATATATGGTTTTGCCAACCTAATAGTTTGAAAACTAAGTGCGTTTCTTTTGGTTCTTCACAAATGTGCTATTTGCTTTTAGATCAGAGAACTGTACTGTACATGTTTAGAAAAGAGCGTCTGGGATTCAGAGGAGTATGTATCGGCTTTTCAGCTACTGAGGTACTTTTTTTTCTTTCTTTCTTGTGTGTTCAAAGCCAGCCAAGAAGAACCACCTGCCTCCAGAACTCTGCCTGCCAAGAAGTTTCATAAGTAGCTATGTTGTATCTAAGAATTTTGTATTTATCTAGAATATGTGTTGGTAGCTTATTACATCTGGCCCTTCCCACAACTAAAGTGAAGGCACAATGTTTGGAGGTTCTCTTTGGATTTTGGAGGCAATATATCCCTCATGTGGGTCTGATTTCTTGTTGTCGTAGTCGTTGTTGTTAGGTGCCATCGTGTTGGTACCAACTTACAGTGACCCTATGCACAACAGAACGAAACACTTTTCAGTCCTAGGCCAGCGTTGCAGTTGTTGCCACGCTTGAGCCCATTGATGCTGCCACTTTGCCAGTCCACCTCTTTTGGGGGGGGTCTTCATCTTTTTCTCTGACCCTCCACTTTACCGAACATGATCTCCTTCTCCAGTGACTGGTCCCTCCTGACTGGTCCCTCCTGATATGTCTGAAGTATGAGAGATGAAGTTTGGCCAGCCTGGCTTCCAGGGAGCACTCTGACTGGACTTTTTCCAACACAGATTTGCTTGTTCTTTTTGCAATCCATGGTACTTTCAGTATTCTCCAACATCTTAATTCAAATACATTTCTTCTACAGTCTTCTTTATTCACTGTCCAACTTGCACATACACATATGAGGTTATTTAAAATACCATCGTTTCGATCAGGCGTACCTTAGTCCTCAAACTGACATCTTTGCTCTTTAATACTTTAAAGAGGTCTTGTGCAGAAGATTTGCCTCATGCTATATGTCATTTCATGTTGGTGGTCGGTCTGAACAAAATGAAGTCTTTGACAGCTTCAGTCTTTTCTCCATTGATATGGATGTGTTATTGGTCCAGTGGTGAGGATTTTTGTTTTCTTTACATTGAGATGCAATCCATACCGAAGGCTATGGTTTTTGATCTTCCTCAGTAAGCATTTTAAGTCCTCTTCACTTTCAGCAAGCAAGGTTGTATCATCTGCATATCACAGGTTGTTAATGGGTCTTCCTCCAATCCTGATGTCACATTTTCTTCATAGAATCCAGCTTCTCGGATTATTTGCTCAGTTTGCAGATTGAATAAGTATGGTGAAAGAATACAACCCTGGCGCACACCTTTCCTAATTTTAAATCATTAGGTGTTCCCTTGTTCTGTTCAAACAATTGCCACATCTTCTGCAGAATGGCTGTCGTTTTCAAACCACCCATGTTTCAGTTAGCAGTCCAGCATTTTAGCCACCGTGCCACCAGGACTTCATATAAAGACAAAGTTAAATGAAGGTCATTTTGGTACAGGAAGTGGTAAAATATAGTATTAATCCAGCAGGGTCGCTATGAGTCAGAACCTATTAGATGACACTTAACAAGAAGTGCCATGAAATCAGTTCTGATTCAGCAATCCTGTATAGTGTTTCTAAGTAGTGACTGGTGGGTTTGAACTGCTGATCTTGTGATTAGCAGCCCTGTGCTTATCCTATAATGTCACACCAAGAGTTCATAATTTAGGAGTGTTGTTGTTGTTAAGTGTTGTCGAGTCAGTAGCAACCCTGTATAGCATTTGTGAGGAGCATCTCATGAGTTTAAACTGCCTACCTTGGGTGGGGTTCAAACTTGTGGTCTAGTGGGTATTCTACAGCGCCGCACCAGTAGTAGGTACTGCAAGGGTTAGTGTGTTTAGCTGTTAAGTGAAAAGTCAGCGATTTAGGGCCTCCAGATGTTCCTTAGAAGAAAGGCATGACCATGTACATCAAAAAAAAAAAACAACAGTCATTGAAAACCCTATGGAGCATAGTTTTAGTCTGACATACATGGAGTCACTATGAATTTATATCGTCAGCTCAATGGGAACTGGTTTGTGTCTGAACACCAGCATTTTAAAAATAGATGTTAATCAATTCTTTACCTTACAAAAACATGATGAGTCAGCTGGATTTAAAGACTGTTTCATTCTCATCATCAGTAGTAATGATTTTTATCATTCTTATCAGCAATGATTCTTCAGATGGGGGACAATGAAAAGTGAGTCCCCCTTTAGGGGAATTTATTCAGTCATCCACCAACAAAAACATTGAGTGACTTCTACAGTCTAAAGAGCTGGAATTTTTATCTCAGTCTTCAAAGTCCAGTGCTTTTTTCAGTTTTATTATAATTATTTGAGGACTTATATATATATATAAAATTAGGTGGGTTTTCTTTTATGATTTGCCGCATAATTACCCAGTTTTTTAAAGCCAGCCGATCCAGCTTCTGTGGACTAAACCCCCTATGCTGATTCTAGTCATCTCAGCCCAGGCTGCAGACATATAAGTAAAAGATACCAGGGTCTGATGTGCTTAACCAAGTATAATGTAGGAACTTGCTGTAGTAACAGACTCATAAATTGAAGTTGATTGGTGACTGAAAGAATTTACTTGAGAACAAAATTATTTTTAATTTCTGAGTAGGACTTTTGACTTAAACAGTAATATGTTAGCATGGCAGTTCAGCATTCATTGAGTTTAAAAAAGAAAAAAAAAGACCAAGTAATAGTATCAACATTTGATCACAATTTAAAAACTAAAGAATACATTGTTTCTTGGTTTTGCTGATGAACTTTAGATCATGTTTAAAGAGCTATTTATAAAAAATAATCCAACCCCACAGGCCTATGAGATACGTCCTAAATCTTAATAATTTACCTTTTGATTGTCTAGATTTAGTCACACAAAGATACACTAAATTATGCCATTATAATATTTGTTTTAGAGCAGGGATTGCCAATTCTGAGCTACATTAAGTTCTGTACAATTATCTATAGATCTGTAGCAAAGTCTGACAAACTTGAATTTTTGAAGCTTTGCTTAAATCAAAAATATTGAGAGCCACTATTTTTAGAGGAGTAGATTTCACACTTCATTGTACATAAGAATTGCCTGAGTTTACTAAACATGGAGATTTCTTCTCTCTCCTCCCCCAAAGATTCTGAATCGGACAGTTTGAGGCGTAGGTAGTCAGGAGGAAACTGCAGTTAATAAGCACTCTAGCACATTCTAGACAGATGACTCAAGGGCACACGTTGAATAAAATTTTTCTAGAAAATAAGAGAATAATAAAGGGATTTTTTTTTAAATTAGGAAAATTTGAAGCCATTAAACGAGTAGAAAAATATCCATGGAAAAGTTGGCTTGAGGTAGTTGGGCTCAAATTGATTCCATGGACTAGGTAAGAGCAATATGTCTTTGACTCAGTAAACAGAAAAGAGATATGAATATGTATTTGAATTTTGAGTTTTCTTTTTATTAAACATCTAATGCCTGCTGCCTCTTTTTTTGCGAGTAGGAAATAGGTAGCGAATAGTAAAATGAATGTTGTTTTTC